CATCGAAGGAATGTCACCGATGTGATCGGGGCAATTGCTGTCGCAGAAAGGCTCACCGACTTTGTTTCCTCTGGATCTGGGAAAAGAAAAACAATCTTCAGGAAATCGCCCTCCAAAATATTCTCGAGGGAAGGAGCCCGGAAGAGAACAAAAGAAGAAGAGTTTCCACAAAGGGCCAAGCTCAAAAGGCAAGGCCCCAAAATATGACGAATGCTTTTTGTGCATAGGGTCACACATGGTGAGAGAGTGCCCACAAAAATATGCACTCAATGCCTTAACAACTTCTCCTCTTTTCTCTTATGCACGTAAGGTGCTCGCTGAATTGCTTATAAAGCTTCCCTCTTCGTGAGACATCAGGACTTGTTCATCGCTCGTTTTCAATCTAATTAACTTTCTGTTTTACAAGTCCTTCGGGACCTGTATGAGATTGTAACTAGGTTGAACTTTTGTGGACGCATATGTCGTAAGGACGTCTCATGACCTAGTCAATCCCAGCTAAATCCGAGAAGTTGGCACAAGGGTGCTTCGCGACTTAGGCAATTCAAGCTAAGTTTGTGACTTGACCACAAGGGTGCCTCACGGTTTAGACAATTCCAACTAAGTCCATGACACTAGGATGATGGATTATATTTATATATGTGATTTCAAAATCAATCAATCGAATTGGCTCGTCATACTATTGGTAAAATTTACTAGTCCGACCGAGAACTAATATATGGATTGAATAAATTTTTTTATTTAATAGTAAATATGTGTGTCTTATCTTTTCCTAATAATCACAATTTGATTCAATCGTCTCCCTCTTATAGTAGGTGAAACTACCATTTGACCTAGTTATGATCAACAACCACCTTAGCTTTTTAGAAATTTTTAGTCTTATGGGTTTGATACTACATTAAAAATCTAATAATGATGATGAGCTAAATAAACATCTAATAATCAATATAATATACATTAGAGTCGGTCGGCACCGGTTCAACCCACAAACTTAGATCTATTCGATTGTTGGTGGGTCAATTCCAATACGTGTGTGTTATCAGGATCTCTCAACTTTTACGGATGTAAGAGTCAGAGTGTGGTCTTAATCTTCTTTTTCAATCTCTCCTCCTCGGACATGAATATTTTTAATTGACTTCACCTTATTCGTTTGAGATCGGTTTAGTACTTAGTGAGCTGGTAGTCTTTATTATTGCACAATGATCTCTTTTTGGTATATAAATGTCCAGAGCCAGATTCAACTATAGATCAAGCAAACGAGTCCATCAAATATACAAAAGCTTTCCCTAGCTAAGTTATTAATATGTCTGCCGTTTGACTCCAGAAGGTGAAGAAGGTACATGAACTGCATTATATATAATGACGTGCCTGCTACATCGAGACACTCGTAATATTTGGTGCAACAGTCCCAACTAATAATATATAATGCAGTTCATGTGCCACCTTAGACCGATAAAACCAACGACTAGCTAAAAGCATTCTAATGGCCAACTAATAATATTATTGCACAATTCTTGCACGTACTGAGTGCAACTTGAAATGTATCAAAAAGATCACATCTTATAATAAGATGGTTTAGGGCTCACTAGACGTGCACTGGATAGATATATAGATAGATAGATAGATAGATAGATAGAGAGAGAGAGAGAGAGAGAGAGAGAGAGAGAGAGAGAGAGAGAGAGAGAGAGAGAGAGAGAGAGAGAG